ACTTGATTTTTAGTTGTTTGACCCCTAGAGTCAAGGTATGCATTCACCTTGAGAACTTCATCTTTGTTTCCAAATGCAATGACTTCAGTTTTTTCCTTGTTTAACTGAAGAAAGTTCTGGCACATCCAACTGTTAATTTCATCAATGCATTGGCAGAGGGAGTCAATGGGGCTGTAGTCATTTGGCGATAAGGCTAAGTAAATCTGGGTATCATCAGCATAGCTGTGATAGGCAATTTGGTTCTTTCTCATTATTTGACTTAGTGGGAGCATATACAGGCTAAACAAGAGTGGTGCAATAATTGAGCCTTGTGGGACTCCGCATGTCATGGACGTCCACTTAGACTTATGCTCTCCTATACTCACATAATAACCTCTCCCTTCTAAGTATGACCTGAACTATTTGATTACCACCCCAGAAAGCCCGACCCAGTTTTCCAGTCTCTTTAGAAGTATGTTATGATCGACAGTGTCAAACGCAGCGCTGAGATCTTTTTTTTAGATGAATAATTATGCAAGTTACTAAAATGATGAATAGCTATGAAACACTATGTCATCAACATATCCATTGACCTTCACTAATTATTAAGTCTTGAAAAAATATTTCAAACCTATTTTTCAAACCTAGTTAGCTAAACAAATAAAATATTTTATATTTTTAGTGTTCAAGTGGTTTATATTGATTGTTTTAATTTAGTGTAGAAAGTTTGTGTGTGTGTGTGTGTGTGTGTGTGTGTGTGTGTGCAATATAATTAAGTATAAAATGTAAGCTTTTCATCAAATCATGAGGCCCTGCAATTGCTTCACAAACCCCAGTTTGGAAAATCCTAGTGTAATGTAATGTTTAATGAATATTATGTTGTTGCTAACAAATAATATATCTTCTTTCTCTTCATGTTGTATCAATCCCATTCAAATATATGTGATAAATGAGGTCAAAAGTCATCTAAAAGTAATCAAAAAGTATTCAGAATACATTACCTTAAATGTCTTATCTAATATATTACGTTACTAACTACAATTTTCATCATGTAATTTGAAATTAGGTTTGGACTACAATTTGTAATCTACCATTGCTGGGTAGTAACTGATTAAATGTAATCTGGATAATGTAGTCAGATTCCAAAAATGTACTTGTAATTAGATTATTTTACTTTTTAAAATGCCAACCAGATTATAGTTACATTTTATGGATTTCATAATTACAAATTATTCACACAACGGCAATTCTTCTTTTTCTCTTTTAAATTTTCCTTCTAAAAAATTCAACTGTGTCATAGCCTGTCATTTAGCTTTGAATATTCACAATATAGAATGCCCATGTAAATGTAGTTTACTGTAAATTAATTTGCAATCCATGCTTTCTGAACTTAAATACAAAATCACCTTCCAGTCAGTTATACCGTGTATGAGACGAATAATTACGCAAGTTACTAAACACTGCTGATGTATAGGTAACTGACAAAAATATTTGAAACCTGGAAGACTTTGACCACGTCATTGCTATTTTTATGTTTATTAATGTTTGCTCATGTGACACAGGGATTCCCAAACAGTTAAACACCCTTTTGAACCCCTTTGAGATTTAAAGTTAATATTTCAATGATTTAACATATTTGCATATTCGCAATTCTCTGATGTTGGTTAATGGTCACATTGACATGCAGGTAAAATAAATAAATAAATTAATTAATTAATTCAATTCAATTCACATTTATTGGTATAGCGCTTTTCATGATACAAATAAACAAATAAATATTTAGTAAAAGCTTATCAGTGGTGACTATCTCAAGTTGATGTCCATATGGCAGAACTATACAGTAAAAATCATGCAGTTAGTTAATGACATGTATTCAAATAAACGGTGAACACTGTTAACAGCAAATGTATGTTGGTTCAGGGTTGGTGTCATCTGAGGTCCTCTGAGGGGGTTGCATCATCTCTTCTCAGGTGTTCGGTCATCTCAGGTCTAAATAAATAAATAAATAAATAAAAGTGTAACAATTAAATTTAATTTTTCATTGTTATTAATTAATTAGGATCTTTTCATCAAACCATAAAACCCCTGCTGTTATTTTATTTACCCCAGGTTGGGAAACCCTGGAGTAATGTAATGTTTAATGCATTTCATGTTGTTGATAGCAGAGAATATTATATATATTCTTTCTCTGTTTTATAACAATAATCCTATTCAAATCTATAAACAAGTGAGGTCAAAAGTAATATAGCCTAAAGTAATCCAAAAGTAGGCCTAAAATGAGTATAGATTACATTACTGACTATAGTTTTCATCATGTAATCAGTAACCAAGTACAGAGCACTGCTGGGAGATCATTTCTATCAGTTATTATCACTGTTGAGAAAAAAAAAGGCTTTGAGTAGGCTACTTACATTCTTAATTTCTGTTTATGAGTTAATAAAAATCATAAGTAAACTATCAAAAGTATTTGTTTTTTCGTGATTGTTTTATTTTCGGTCTATATGTATATTGGCGGACGTTTAAACTGCTGTGAAGTAAATAGAACTAAACCTAAATACTCGATTAAGACAGCAAGAGAAATGATTGGCGGAGACACGCAGTAGCAACGCCCTCTTTGATGAAGTCTGAACTGTGATTGGCTCAAAGCTCCCCGAGACAAGTTGCTATTGAAGTTCCTCAGTGTGCAGATTGCAGAAAGCCCGGTAGGCGCAGGCTGTAATTGGAGGGTAAAATGGCGCTGAGTTCTCAAGGAACAAAGAAGAAAGTTTGCTATTATTATGACGGTAAGAATGGCATTTTTACCGGCGTTATATCGAGCTGTTATTGTCAGAGAAATGAAACGCAGGGTCTGCTTCGGATAAATTCCGCATAACGCTTAAGTTCCTGAGTGCAGCCTAATTGTTAGCCGGGTTTAGCCGCACGCGCTAATGCTAGTGTTAGCTTAGCTGCTCTTCATCCTGTTGTTCTTCTTATTCACTGTTAGCATCAAGACCACAGCATGGAGTTAACACCAGCACAATTCACACACTTTTTTTTTTGCAAGTGCAGTATATCTGCGTACACTTTACCACGAGTATTCTTTATCTCCCGCATGTAGCGTCGATAAAATTAGCTTCACATTATGGACCGTAAGAGTTGGGATGAATTGAGCTCGCCGCTTTTATTTATGTCTTCAGTGCTAGCAGCAGTTTCACTTCGAGCGTGTCTGAATGATGCTCTACTTTATATCGCGGGTTGTTTCTGTCTTTTCCCCCTGCTTCTTGCTCTCATCTGCCCTTATAATCACGAATGAACAGCATGTCGTGGTTTACGGTATTTTAATGATCAATTTGAACCATGCAGCTGGCTTTGTGTTTAGTTCAAGGCCTGTTGCAATGGTCCATAAACTCAGCAATAATTCAGATTTTTTTTAGTTTCACAAAGTTGTTATAATTCATCTTGAAGTGTCTAATAATATTTTGTATAATTTTTATTTTTGTTAATAAATATTTTTGTATTTATTTATTAATATTATTTTTTCCTCCTTTCCCAGGGGATGTTGGGAATTACTACTATGGCCAGGGTCATCCCATGAAACCCCACAGAATCCGCATGACCCACAACCTCCTGCTCAACTATGGGCTGTATAGGAAAATGGAAATTTATGTAAGCGAAATTAATCATTATTTTTTATATTTTATGTATTTAGCTAAGCCGATTTCTTCACTTGTTTGCATGTTTAGCGGCCTCATAAAGCCAATGCTGAAGAAATGACCAAGTATCACAGTGACGATTACATCAAGTTCCTCTTTTCCATCCGCCCAGACAACATGTCTGAGTACAGCAAGCAGATGCAGAGATGTAAGTTGACGATTTTTTTTTCCTTTGCTCAAGATGTTCAAATATGAGGTCTTAAAAAAGAGTGCAGTAAAATTGAACTGTGATGCAAGTTGCTTTACTTTGGATTTGTTTCCGTGTCTTGAATGTACAGTGAACATGTTTTATTGTCTCTGCAGTTAACGTAGGGGAGGATTGTCCTGTCTTTGACGGCTTATTTGAGTTCTGTCAGCTCTCAACAGGTGGATCTGTTGGTAAGTGTATTTTAGTGTATTTAATAAAGTTTACAGAATCTTCTTACGGTTTGGTACAGTTTTTTTTTTTTTTCTAACTATGTCCTCATAATTTTCAGCTGGGGCTGTGAAACTCAACAAACAGCAGACAGACATTGCCATTAACTGGGCAGGAGGCCTTCATCATGCCAAGAAATCTGAGGCGTCTGGATTCTGCTATGTCAACGACATCGTACTCGCCATTCTGGAGCTGCTCAAGTATGCCCTTTAACTAAAAAAAAACACTACAGATAAAAATACTTTTATTAATTTGTTGTTATTTATACACACACTACCAGTCAAAAGTTTGGGATAATTAAGATTTTTTTTATGTTTTTGAAATAAGTCTCTTATGCTCACCAGTGCTACATTTATTTGATCAAAAATACAGTAAAACCGGAATGTGTTAATGTAATTTATTCTTTGATGCAAAGTTTATTTTTGTGAAAAACTTTTTTTTTTCTAATGGTAGTGTATCATGGTTTCCACAAAATATTAAGCAGCAAAAGCGTTTTTCAACATTAATAGGAAGTGTTTCATTATAAAAACCATTACAACATTGTAATTATTCAAGCTTTTTACCGGGAATGTCTATTTCATAAAATCTATCAATGAGTTCTTAAAGAAACATTTGTGATTACTTAAAAAAACCCCACACACTTTGACATTTTAACCGAAGGCCTCATAAATCTTTTTAGGTACCATCAAAGAGTGCTTTACATCGACATTGACATTCATCACGGGGATGGAGTTGAGGAAGCTTTCTACACAACAGACCGTGTCATGACTGTGTCCTTCCACAAGTATGGAGAGTATTTCCCTGGTACTGGAGACCTCAGAGTAAGTATTTCAAGTTAAATAAATACTTTCTGGTTAAAAAGGAGCTTGAAGCTTAGTTTTGTTTGTTTGTTTTTTTTTGCAGGATATTGGTGCAGGGAAGGGAAAATACTATGCAGTGAATTACCCACTGAGAGATGGTATAGATGATGAGTCCTATGAAGCCATATTCAAACCTGTAAGTCTGTAAACTTGCCCAAGTGTAAAAATAGTCAAAACGTGTTTGTCTTAAATTGCAGTGAAATTTGAGTCTTGAAAATCTCCTGTTTCTGAATGTCCTGCAGATCATGGCCAAAGTGATGGAGATGTACCAGCCCAGTGCTGTGGTGCTCCAGTGTGGCGCTGACTCTCTGTCTGGAGATAGATTGGGCTGCTTTAACCTCACCATCAAAGGTATCAAACATAATCAAACCACACAAGCATCTCTTAAGTGAATGGTATTTGTGTCTAACCAAATCCTTGTGTGTCCCTCAGGTCATGCTAAGTGTGTGGAGTACATGAAGAGCTTTAACCTGCCCCTGCTCATGCTGGGAGGTGGAGGCTACACCATCAGGAACGTGGCCCGCTGCTGGACCTATGAGACGGCTGTAGCGCTGGACAGCACTATTCCCAACGGTGAGACACTCTGATTTTGTTCGATTATCACATGTTTTGTTCTCTCCATGGTGAACACCATTTAACTTGTTGTTTTGTTCCATCAGAGCTCCCGTACAATGACTACTTTGAGTATTTTGGACCTGATTTCAAGCTTCACATTAGCCCCTCCAACATGACCAATCAGAATACAAATGACTATCTAGAAAAGATCAAGTAAGTGGGATGAAGGGCCACACATGTTTCATTCAAAATAACTTGAATCATCAATGGAAGTATGATGGCACATGTTTTTAAAGGGGTCATATGATGCTTTTTTAAAGATCATTATTTTGTGTATTTGGTGTAACAGAATATGTTGACATGCTTTAATGTTCAAAAAACACATTATTTTTCAA